CGAGAAGTCTTGAAGGCGAGCATCAGAGGTGGGAGTACAGACAGAAGATAGACGTAAGTCTTCAGCAGGGCGCAAGGGCCGAGACGGGACATACTTGTGTATTAGGGAGGATAGATAGGTGGGAGCAGCATTATGTAGAGATTTGAAAGCAAGAACCAGAATTTAAATTGAGCCCTATATCTTACAGGAAGCCAATGTAGGGACTGACAGAAAGGTGAGGCATGGGAGGTGCGGGCAGACAGGAATTTGAGCCTTGCCGCTGCATTCATTATGGACTGTAACAGCGCAAGTTAGGAGCACGTAAGACCACTGAAAAGCTGATTACAGTAGTCAAGGCGAGAAAGGAAAGTGGAATGGACCAGCATCTTAGTCGCATCTGGCATTAATTAGGGTCGGATGCGCACAATGTTTTTGAGATGGAAACGACAGGATTTGGCGATAGACTAAACATGAGGCGTTAAGGAGAGGTCAGAGTCAAATAGAACATCTAGGCAGCGAGCCTGCGTGGTGGAGCTGGTGGTAGCACTGTTGAATTGGAGGGAGACAGACACAGGAGTAGCAACATTTGAGGGAGGAAAGACCTGAATTTCAGTTTTGGTCAAGTTGAGTTTAAGGAAGTGGGCAGCCATCCAGTTAGAAATAGAGGCAGTCAGAGACACTAGTCAAAAGGGACAGTGAGAGATCAGGAGAGGACCGGTAGATTTGTGTCATCCGCATAGAAATTATATTGAAAACCAAAGGAGCTAATGAGTTTAATGAGAGGAGTTTGGGAGAAGAAGCAGCGCCAGAGAAATTAACACTGAAAGAGCACTGGGAGAGGTAGGATAGGAGAAGCACCAGGAGAGAGCAATATCTTGAAGACCGATATTGCAGAGGATGAGAAGAAGCTGTTGATGATCAACAGTGTCAAAAGCTGCAGACAGGTCAAGGAGAATTAGGATAGAGTAGTGACCACGAGATTTTGCAGCGAGTAGATCATTAGATACTTTGATCAGTGCCGTTTCCACAGAGTGCTTAGCGCTGAAACTAGACTGAAGCGGGTCTAACAGAGAGGTGGACTCGAGGAAGTCTGTCAATCTCGCATACACAACTCTCATTTCAGGTAGTCCCCATGTTGGCAGCACTATGGACACCTCTTGGGCTCAGCCCAGACAGTCCTCGCTAAGAAAAAGACTGATCGCCAGCCGGGGAATGGCAGCGATCGGTAAGTGCAAGGGGAGGGAGGGTATCTGTTAATTTTTTTTTTACGTTTATTAAATTAACACTTTTTTTTTTTCAGTACAGGCAGAGCATCAGAAGGCTCTACCTCACTGCTAGGCTCCACGTGGAAGTGATTGCCGGGGGCCACCGGCAGTGAGGGCGGTATTGCAGTGATGTCTCAACATTGAAATAGCATTATTTTATATCATGATCGCTTCCAGCACTCTAATTCCCCTCTGATGTATCAGGTATGTCCGCAATCCTTAAGGACTGTTTTTTGTTGGACGTACCTGATACGTCCTGGATCCTTAAGGGGTTAAGGACTGTGTATACACCTAACAGTCCTGCGAGTATTGGTTATCTCCACAAATTTAAAAAAAAAATAAATGAATACATTTCAAACAAAAAAAAAGGGTGGGGGGGGGGGTAAGATGCGCACAGCCCTGCTGGATTCACAGATCTTGCTGGAGATTTACAGACCGCCAGCCAGCCAAACGAACTCTGATGGACTTTCAGCTTGAGCACATTGCTTTACTTTGTCTCTGTATATCTCTTGACTAGGTTGAAATTTCAGTGAAATTCCAACAGTCAAAATTTGTATTTTATATGAAATCTTTACAAAATATAAATTTTTCAGCGGGGGTGACAGTGCCAGTTTAAACTTCCTGAAAGTGTTGGTTATTGAGTCTTTTCAAGATAGGCATCAAAGAATGCCTATGGCAAAATTGACTCTGAACCAGAATTGACTCTCTGATCTTGCTAGTCTATCAACACTTTCAGTCAGGTGTAGGACAAGTACATTTGTGACCACATGCAGGCCTGACAGGAATGCTATGATATCAATTTGCTGTAATGTAACAATCTATAGCTATGGGGTCATATGGCTTAGCTTGTTTGAGATTCCATTCATTTCCATCTTAGGTTCATTGAAAATGACAGATCACACAATAAAACTAAATACGTCAATTTAACTAGCAAAAAGCATGTGAATCAACTTTAAAGCAACTGTCGCCACCTGGGGTCTTTGCATAACCCCATGACAGGGACATCACAGCAGGTGCTACGTTGGCCACAGGAAAGTAGGTTATTCTTATCTAAAGCTGTCCCTCATATACACAGCCATTCTCTTCCGTCGGGTGCACTTCAACTCCTGGTGTTTCCGACAGCAGGAGCGATATCAGCACTGTATTCTCACAAATAAGAGTAGTGCATTGAGATCTGTGTAGGATCCCGCGAGGTCATTCATAGAAAGAGCTTTTCTTTTTCTCCCTATAGCCGTCAGTGGTGATGGCTGGGGGTAATGACAAGTTTGACAAAAGGTAACTCCTCCTTTTGTCAAGCAAAGGAAAAATACCAAGTATATATTTTGTCTGGGCTGGAATTTCCCTTTCAAATTCAGTCAATGTTAGTATTTATTAAGGATTTTATCTTTTCGAAATACTCACTTGGGGGCAGGGGTGACAATGTGTTTTTACTTAGAGTGGCCATTCCTATACTGCCCCCACTCCAAAAGAGACTAAGAACTGTCCCAGTGCTTATGCCAAGTTCTCCCTGCAGCCCCCCTCCTCCTCCAAAGACATCAGGGAAGATATATGGCTGGCCATGTTGCCACTGAACGCCTGTCACCAGCATGGTGTGTGTGCTGGTGAGAGATGTCCAACACGCACAGAACTGACGATAGCCATGTCGGAACTATTCTGTGCCAAAATTGACTTGATCCCAGTAAATAAACCAACAAAAATTGGACATCTGAAAACTGAAGTTGTCATGTCTAATTGTATCCTATAATTTGTCATGGATCTGACAAAGTAGGATCCACCAATTTTGGGGTACTGTGACGTAGTAGTGAGTTTAAAGGGATTCTATAGTGTAAGGAATACAAAGTTGTATTCCTTACACTATAGTACCCTCTTCCCCCTCCCTACATGGAAGGCTTAAATAACCCTTTGTATACTCACCTGATTCCAACACCTATGTCCCATAACATCATTCGACAGGGGGGTGGCTAATGCACATGCGCAACATTGCTTCAATGCTTTCCTATGGGGATTTTACTGACGCTGGATATCTTCATGCAGAGCATAAGGAGATACAGCATCAGTTAGGCAACTAGAGGTCTGTTAGCCACCAGAAAGTGCCTCTAGCGTCTGATTGACAGAGACTACAGGCAGTCTTAGTGCTGCAACGTAATCATTGTAGTTTAGCTAAAACTATAATGATTTACATTGCAAAACTAAAGGGGACAGGGATACTGCACCCAGACAACTTCAATGAGCTGAAGTAGTCTGGGTACCTATATTGTCATTTTAACATAATATGGTCACATGGTGTAACTAAATCCCCATATTTGATCCCCAGATGATTTTAATTAACCTTATAAAATATAAAACAGTATTTTATTGTGTATGTGCTGTCCTTTATCTGTATTTTGCATTAACCTGAAAAATGCCTACGCACCAATATGGTGTCTTTACAATAGTAGGATTTATATGGTCTGTGAAATTAGCCCCAAAATGAAATGTGTGAAAAGCACAAAACAATGAAATATAACTATATATTTTGACAGTGAAGTAGTTAAATTAAAACAGTCAAAAATACTTATAAATGAAATACCGAGTGGTCTATTTTCTACATGTATATACTTTTATTTTGAATTCTGTGACTGCTATTAAAAGTTAGTCTCTGCACGCAAAATTTGTCAAAAGCAAAAACTTTTAAAACCATATTTTGCTCCTTGCTATATTGTTTCTGTATCTCCTTAATAAAAAAAATAAATAAAAAAAAATCAGTTTGAATACTACAAATATTGGACATTTTAACAAGCAAAACTGATAAATTACCTTTAGTTGAACTACTTGTGTAGAAATTACAAGCAACACTGGGGTGGGGGGAGCAATATTTCTTGCATCTTAGAAAAAATATATACCCATGGAGTATCACAAGAGCACAGCATTTACCCTTTCAAAAATGATATATATTATGCGCAGAGATAAAGAGATAGCATTAAATTACACTGACACAAACATATAGAATAAGTGCCAAAAATGCATTGGTCATATCCGGATGTAATCTTAGAAAATCTTTGTGGATGAAGGGGTTAAACTTAATTACCAAACATATAAAATTTTGAAGTGGTTCTGGAAAGCACTCCTTTTGGTATGTGACCTCTAACTGAAGGTACGTTTCTTATACGTTCCCTTTTCTTTAGCTCCACTTGTTTTCATAAGCAGCAAAACTGAAGAAAAAAAAAATATTCCCCCCCCAAACGTTTTCATGCCAAATGAGTAACTATATATTTAGTATAAATGAAAACCCCAAACACCAATTAAGGAACAGCGCACACAAATGGTTTTTTTTCTTTTTTAAATTACCTTTCTTAGCAAATATGGGGATTCAGTTACACCAAATAAAATGAAAAAACCGACACAATAAAGGGGATAATATGTGTTTGTCAAAATTATAAAATATGTGCCGGTCCTCATGGCACCAAAAAAATAAAATAAAATAATCCCTTGTCATGAAGGACTTAAAACTGGACAACAAACTGGCCTTTATAAAAATGTGCATAGATTTGGTGATTGGTCTATTACAATGGTTGTTTTTATTAATGTGACCCATGTGCCACTTTGTACTGTCACACACCTCTCCACACTTTATTAAAGATTTACAAATGAAATCACATGTACGTTTAATAAACATGGTTTACACCCCTTTCCTCCTGACCATAGGACAGCCAGTGACTCCCTGTACCGTTTATATTATATATATATATATTATATCATTTATTTATTTTTTTTAAACTGTATTAATGTTCCTTGTTGTGGTTGGTCAAACTAAGAGCGGTGAAAGTTTGTCACAGGCCAATAAAGCGGCCGCCATGAGGCCGGTGTGAGCCTCTGACAAGCTGACACTGCGAGCGCCAGGCACGGAGAGCGCACGATGAAATGGCGGCGGCGGTGGCGGCAGTGTCGGCGGGGCCGTGTGGGCAGCCTCCCTCGCCAGAGGAAACGAGAAAGAGACACTCAGTCAGCCTCTCTCTCTCAGAGAGACAGGCGGGGGGAGGGGAGGGCGGCTCTCGCTTCAATACTCCCGGCGGGAGAGCTCGCAGAGCCTTTGGTGCACGGCCAGCCCCCCCCTTCCCCCCGCTGCCGGTCATGTGACCTTAACGTAACCGGACAGGAAAGCACCGAGTGGCTTTTTTTTTTTTTTTTTCTCCCTCGCTGGGTGGACTCCTCTCGGAGAGGAAGGAGGAGGAGACGGTGGGTTCCCCGTCAAGGAGCAGCACGGGCTCTCGCCGGCGCACGATCTGTCGGAGCGGAGGTAGGTGGATCGGCCCCCGGGGGCCACGTGCGCCCTGCTGCACCCCGGGGATAGAGATAGGGGTGGGGGAGGGGTGTACCCCGGGATCGCGGGGTGCCGCACGGTGTGTGGTAAATACCGCCCGTGATTATTCGGCGATATTAGCGGGTCACCCGGTGGGCTGTGTGAGGTGCCCGGGGGTGATGCAGTGGGGGAGGGGGTGACGGACAATGGGGGCCCGGGTCCAGCCGCCATTCCTTCCCCGGGCTGGCACCGCCATGTGCGCCCCGTCCGCCGCCTCCCTCCCCGGCTCTCCCTCCACCCCCGCCCCGCTCAGGCCGCAGCCAGGAGCCATCTTTGTTCGTTGATCGTCATGTTCTCGTCCTCCTCACACAGCTGCGCGGAAGTGGGCAGCGTGCGCTCGCTCCTCCCCCCTCCAGTGACGGAGCCGCCATGTCTTGCTCTCCCTCTCAGGCTGCATCCGGTCTGGCAGGGCCTGTCATGTCCTCTAGCTGGGCCCGCTGGCTCTGGGGAAGGTGTGGGGGGCATGGCCGCCCGGGGGGGGGGACCCCCCACTAATGGCAGCCGGGGGGGGCTCACTAAAGTGAGAATTGTCTGAAATTCAAACTCAATGTCCATTTAAAGAAGAATTGGAACATTTTCCAGTTGGACTGTTTTGGTATAAAAGGTGAAAATTCAGATTCACTCTGATTTGCCAACTATTCTCGCCTTAGTGAATAACCCCGTGTGAGAGAAGTTCGAGATGCGACCGCCTGCGATGTAAACTTTGCAGGGTTAACGGGACAGGGACACTGCGCCAAGGCCACTTGTATAAGATGGAGTGGTCTGGGTTCCTCTAATGTCCCTCTAATTGGACCATTTGAAGCTTTGCAGTACTGTACTTGTAACTCTGTTACTCTCAAAGTTCTTCATTAAGTTGTGAAATGCCTGCGATTCAATGTATATTTCAAACTATAATCAAACCTACATTGGCTTAAAAATGTTACATTTACATTTAGTCCTTGACAGTTTGCACATGAATGAATAACCCTGTTTTTCTAATTTGAAAACTAGCACTGTTTTTACATGTTGTAGTTTGCTTGTTTTTACCACATTGTCTGGGAAATAATGTTTGGATCTACAAATATATATTTTCAGAACATATATTAAATTGTGGGCCTTATGCTCTCTAGCTGTAGCAATACAACATTCACTATGGTCGGAATGGAGTGGCTGACATTATTCTGTTCAAGCGATGAGGTGCTGTCATAGAGGTGGTTAATCCAGTTTGGGGAATATTCCCGAACAGGGTAAATCACGGAAGAGACAAGGTGGGTGTTACAATAATGTAACATAAACATCTGTAATAAGTTAGCAGAGGGTCAAGTAAGTGGTGAGAGGTTCCTTTTCAGCTACATTGTATTTATTATTTATATAGTGCTAGCAGATTCTGTAGCGCTGTACAATGGGTGGACTAACACATATAATTGTAACCAGACAAGTGGACACACGGGAACAGAGGGATTGATGGCCCTGCTCAATGAGCTTACATGCTTGAGGATTTATGTTACAGATGGATGCTGCAATAGCCAGAAACATCTTGTTCAACACGTAAGAGATGCTTTTAGGGCCCCTGATTCATGCTTTGCCTCAATACGTGACATACCCACCCTATGCCAAGTAGGGTACCCCCACTTACCAAGATCTCTTTATTGCCTAGGAGCAGTGCCAGTGAGTGGTCTGTCTTGATCCGATTTACATTCTAATATTGAAATACAGGTCCCATGATCCTTGCTTCGTGTTATTGCTTAGGATATTGAGAGTTGGTATGTACACAAATGAGCAACACATGTCACTGGCTGAGAGTGCTTGTCGGAGAAGGGAACTACAAACTAATTTAAAGGAACACTGGGCACCATAACGACTTCATCTCAATGATGTACTCAGCCTATTACAGACACCCAGCACTAGGCTTCCTTGTTGAAGCTGAGGACTTTAGCAGGAAAAAGAGGAGCCAAGTCGATGGGCGCTGTCTGCACAATTGTTTGTAAACAGTTTAACCCCTTATGATATGGTGCTGCCCAGGACCTACAGGCACCAATATTAGCTTTATTAAGGTAAAGTTGTTATGGTGCCTCCCTGGAGTGTTCCTTTTAATATATCTAGCTGTTTAGAAAAATAGATTTTATGAAAAACAGGCATTATATTCATTATTAGTGATATTTTCATATCTCCATTTAACTCTTCTAATTGTTTCTTATGATGCAGTTTAGTTTGTATTTTTCCTTCAAAGGAAGTGTTGGCTTTCCTGTCACATGACTAAACGTGCCAACATATTACAGAGAGGGAAATTCATTTTTGATGTATTTTCTTTACACTGTTTTGGGTGACTGAGGAGGTATATAGAACACTATGCTACCTGCTTACCTTTTTGGATTCAAATATCATTTAATTTCCCCTATCTGACCATTTTTGTAAACTCACAATCCAAATTTTCTGCTGTGCACACAGCTAGACCTATCTCTGCCATCTGCCTTAAATGTATGCTACATTCCCTTGCCACTGAATGTCATTTAACAATACAAGACACTAGGGTGCTGCTGTTTTGTTCTTATTGGGTTTTTAGGAGAGACTTACCTATTTTAGGTGTGCGGCCTCCTCCTTCCTCTGACTTAGCGCTGTTCCACTCTTTGTTTTTGTCTACTTATTGAATGTCATTTACTCGTTCAATAATAATTTTGCCAGAATATTGCACGTTCTTGGGTCTAAGTAAAGTGCACTGAAAACATCATCTTAAATAAACAATGTTATTCGAACAAACTGTTTAGGCCAGGACTCGACAAATCCCAGGTCACCATGGCAACCAAGAAATTTGTCCTGGCACCTAGGATTTGTGTGCCTGTTTAGCCCTCGAGGTGACGGCTGCCTGAGTGCAGAGGCGGGCAGTTGGCTCACTGAGTGCTGAGGCAGGCTGCTGACTAAGGGGAGTGGAGGGGGCGGCCCATTTATTGCTCGGTGGGGTGGGGGGGCGGCCAGCCCAAGGAGAGCTGGGAGAGGCGAATGGCTGAAGGAGGGGGCGGCCGGGTAATGGAAGGCGGGCGGATGGATGCCTTAATGCCACGGCAAGTGAGCTGTAATCTCCCTGCTCTGCTCCATCACGCGGCTTGTAGTGATGTCGGGAGCCATGTTATGACGGTACTCCGGCCCCCGGCTCACTAAACAGTGCGCGAGAGGGAGCTGAGTAGGGAGATGACAGCAGCACAGGGAAACCCTTTCCACTCAAGCTCTCCAGAAGTAAGGAGCCTGGGTGGAGTTAAATAAGTGTGTGTGTGTGTAAATTTACTTTGAACAAAATGCTTTTTGAAACACAACAGCAAAATGACTAACAGCAAAAAAAAAAAAAAAAAAGTTTGTCCCCAGGATAAGCAAAAGCTACATGGAATTGGAACCTCTTTTGTAATAAAATGGATGAGCCATTTCACTGTTGGTACTCCTGCTATATGGGAAAGCAGATACAGGAAGAAAGATCCTCAGATATTGTTCTCTAGTGACAATTCTGATGCCAGGCATGTAGAAGGAAGACCTTCACAGACAAGTGGAAAGAATGACTGGTTGCCAAGGATTGTCATAGGCTAGAGATGCTCGACTTTTTTTAAAAATTGAGGCACACTTAAAAAAAGAAAAATCTGATACAATATACCGGCAATAGACTACATACGTACATACATACATTCATTCAATACAATAACAGTGACAAATTTTGATAACGAGAACACTGACTGAGGCAGTGCTCCATATGTCAATCAATAATTTTTGTCCTCAATTTTTGCTGAATTTGGATCTGAGGTATGTATGCAACCCTTATCAGGCTGCTCTCTGTTTGTGGATTTACAGTACAGGAGATGTTATTCAATGAACAGAGGTGCCTCGGTGAGGGATATGGGAAGTATGCAGAAGAACTCTTACAAAGGCTTCTGTGTATATACCGTGGAGGCTCAAGTTTAAGGTGTAACTTTCTGGTTTATGGGTTAGCTGCATAGAAGAGGCACAACGAATTACTAACTAAATTTTAGTCTCGAAAATGAATTTTGGGCAAGAGGCACTACCTCTGAGTTATGTCACTAAACTAGTTTTTTGCACGCACTCATTGATAAGTTGAGCTTTTCTAGTTATACTGCCTTAGCTTAGAAGTTGTTCTAATGGTATATATTTTATGGACGTGTTTGCGGGCCACATTGAAGAGGACATGGGCAGACCAGTCTTGTCATATGCAGCTATTCTTTAGCATTCAACTGTCTTCCTCCTTCCTTTTGTCTATTCAGAAGTATATGTGACATTTGTCGTCGCATTTCAGCAAAAAGATTTTAAATTCAAAATATCTTCTTGGCCTCTCTAATCTGAGAGAGTGATTTTATGACCCTATTAGTCTTGCACATTACAATTGTTTTAAGAAGAATCATATTTATAGTAAAAAAGAGCAGATTTCCGCTTCAAAGTCCTGCGTTTCCGGCTATCATTGGCACCAAAAATAAAGGTCTGACAGTACATTTCTGAAACTATTTGAGTACAGTATACCTTATTTAGATCATTGACTTCTCATAACTAAATCAGTCACAGTTGAAAGAAAACATCAAGTCAATCACTTACATTATTATTCAGCCATTTAAATTGAGTAAAGTATCTCACCTCATCCTAAGAAGCTTAATTAGTTCCCTGAGTATTATATTGGATTCAGTTCATATGAAACCCTTTCTTTCAGAACAGGAAAGGGTAGAGATCAGATAAGGACAAATTACGAGATTGTGTTAGGGAAAAAAGGTGTCTACCGGGCTCTGACATGCCTATAGGTGGTTAACGAACACTTGAACACCAAAGTTTTGAATCAGACACCATTTAATGCTGTCCTGTCTTTCTGCTTCTCTGCAATTCTTGAAAGTGGTAACCTCTGGCAGGGTAGCCACTGATTGGGCTCGAGTAGAGCTAAACTGTGCTGGATTCAAGACTTTAGGGTTAAATAGTTTGTGAACATTGTAATTGTGACATTTGAATATTTTAAAACTGCAATAGTGGAGAAAAAAACATATTTTCTTGTCTGTGTAACAGCTTTCAAAATTTATCAGAGCAAAATCCTAACAATGGAATTTCAAAATGGGTACCCACTTACAGAATATGACAACCAAAACCCTCTGGAACCAAAGAGACGAGGTCTCTAATTTCAGTGAACTGAAACCAGTCCTTTTCAAGCACTTCATTATTTTCAACATCTGTTAAAAGATCATCAATAATTTTTCATGGGGGTATGGGGTTGCACTCTATACAGTGAGGGGGGGAAAGTATTTGATCCCCTGCGGATTTTGAATGTTTGCCCACTGACAAAGAAATGATCAGTCTATAATTTTAATGGTAGGTGTATTTTAACAATGAGAGACAGAATAACAAAAGAAAAATCCCCCCCAAAAAACACATGTCAAAAAAGTTATAAATTGATTTGTATGTCAATGAGTGAAATAAGTATTTGTTCCCCTATCAATCAGCAAGATTTCTGGCTCCCAGGTGTCTTTTATAGAAGTAACGAGCTGAGATTAGATGCACTCTCTTAAAGTGCCCTGAGGGTGCCCCCACCCTCAGGGTCCCCCTCTCGCTGGGCTGGATGGCGAGGAAAGGGTTAAATCTTACCTTTTTTCCAGCACCGGGCGGGGAGCTCTCTGCCTCCTCTCCTCCTCTTTGGCTGAATGCTTTCCTATGGACGCTGGCGTCTTCTCACTGTGATTTTCACAGTGAGAAGCACGCAAACACCTATAGCGGCTGTCAATGAGACAGCCACTAGAGGCTGGATTAACCCTATTCTAAACATAGCAGTTTCTCTGAAACTGCTATGCTTATTTAAAAAAGTGGTCTGGGTGCCTAGAGTGGTCCTTTAAAGGAAGTGCTCCTAATCTCAGCTTGTTACCTGTATAAAAGACACCTGTCCACAGAAGCAATCAATCGATCAGCTTCCAAACTCTCCACCATGGCCAAGACCAAAGAGCTGTCCAAGGATGTCAGGGACAAGATTGTAGACCTACACAAGGCTGGAATGGGCTACAAAACCATCGCCAAGCAGCTTGGTGAGAAGGTGACAACAGTTGGTGCTATTATTCGTAAATGGAAGACACCCAAAATAGCTGTCAGTCTCCCTCAGTCTGGTGCTCCATGCAAGATCTCACCTCTTGGAGTTTCAATGAGAATGGTGAGGTATCAGCCTAGAACTACACCAGAGGATCTTGTTGATGATCTCAAGGCAGCTGGGAACATAGTTACCAAGAAAACAATTGGTAACACACTACGCCGTGAAGGACTGAAATCCTGAAGCACCCGCAATGTCCCCCATTCCAGCATGACAGTGACCCAAAACACACAGCCAAGGCAACAAATTAGTGCCTCAGGAAGCACATTAAGGTCCTGGAGTGGCCTAGCCAGTCTTGAGACCTTAATCTCATAGAAAACCTGTGGAGGGAGCTGAAGGTTCGAGTTGCCAAATGTCAGCCTCGAAACTTTAATGACTTGGAGAGGATCTGCAAAGAGGAGTGGGACAAAATCCCTCCTGAAATGTGTGCAAACCTGGTGGCCAACTACAAGAAACGTCTGACCTCTGTGATTGCCAACAAGGGTTTTGCCACCAAGTACGAAGTCGAAGGGGTCAAATACTTATTTCACTCACTGACATGCAAATCAATTTATAACTTTTTTTGACATGGGTTTTTCTGGATTTCTTTTTTATTATTATTCTGTCTCACTGTTAAAATACACCTACCATTAAAATTATAGACTGATAATTTCTTTGTCAGCGGGCAAACATTCAAAATCATAAGGGGATCAAATACTTTTTTCCCCTCACTGTATGTGCCAAGGAGAAACTAGGTCTGTTTATCTCTCTGAGAAAATCGTGTTGTGATCAGAACAACGGAATTTGAGGATCAATGTGGGAGACATAAAAGGATCAGAAAATCACAGCAGAAAGGCTTAACAGGAGCAAGTTAACACTGATTTTTTATTTTATTTATTTTTATTTTTTTCAAACTTTCATAGACCTTAAGAGACCAGAACCTATAGAAACCAGGGTTAATCTGCAAAATAGAGAATTGAGATTGTTTGTCACTTGGAACTTTCACTGTGCTAGTCTGTTTCCTTCAGTGGCTAATGTCCCAAGAGTATTGCAAACAGTTCAGGTTGGATCAAGCCAATGTCTTGACAGTCATTGCATTTTGGCAAAGAACCTTTAGATCTACATCTCTAAAGAGTAAGATCCTGGAAGAAGAAATCCATCCAGAACTTATAACAGTTTGGAATCTGAAAGTAGCCTTACAAAAAAAAAAAAAGTTGTTAGGACACAGAAGTTGTAGACATTCTTGTAAAAGCCAAGAAGAAATACATACACCATTCATTTCAGAACATGGAACAAATGTGGCTTCCATTCCCTTTGCTAAAGATTGAGTCCATCATCAAAGTACAGATTTCAGCTATAGTACCAATAATTTGAGCTCTCATGAGAGCGCCTGTCCTCAGGGTAGTGTGTGTATGTAG